TTAACAAATAAAATTTCATGCTTCAGTGAAATTGTATTCAACAACAATACAAATAATAAAATTATAAAATAAACAGCAAACAATTAATTAAAATTGGAAATAACCACATTAGAAATAAGTTTTTCTTCCTAAAAAATAGTCGTCGATATATACATGTATATTTGCATATTTTACTTTCAAATAAACTCTACTTCCAGTAGAAATCACCATTTTTGATTGTTTAAAAAAATTTAATTTGGTCGTTACCGATCAATTAGGCCAACCTATCCTCGCTCGGTTGGTTTGTAAGCCTGCCTTTAAGATTACACCATCTTCAGTACTGTCCCTGGGTATTTTAAACTCAAATTAATTTTATAAAGTCGAAAAAGATAGATCACATCAAATCACAACATTGAAGATGGTGAAATGCCGAAACACAGGCCAAATCAACAAGGACAAGTAGACCAAAATGAACGGTAATGATAAATCGATGGTTCATCGCCCTGCAAACCCCGCAGAAAAATCTTACAAATTATATGACTTTTGTAAAAATTTTGTATTAGATATAAACTTTATTGATTAAAGATCAATACAATTATAACGTTTACAAGCTCTAAAGTAGAAGAGTTAATTAATAAAAGTACTATTGTAAGTAGAAACCTATTAATGTGACCTTGTCTTCGGTTTTTCTATGATGGCCGTAAGTCATAATTGCATAATGTCGAATGCATATCCCAGAGTGCAGTAAATTTCGATTTTATTGACAGAGCCAAATCGTAGAACATTCTCCGACGAAATCCCCCGGGACACCAAAGATATGAAAAATGATTGACTTCACATACGTAATATCTTCGCGTTCAATCATGCTTTGTATGAAAACGGGCAGGTCTTTCTGGAAATGGCTTTAACCCCTAATGTTTCAAAAATTTCACATACTTTCCTGAGAAATGATACATTATTTTTCAAATGGCAATTGGTTTCAATGTTATCTCAGCTTTTGAGACTCTTTATACTGTTGAAGTAAAATCGATTCGTCTCAAAACATAAACAAGTAATAAATAACATTTCATTTAGAAAATTTATCTAGTAATCAATCAAGTATATTATGTACGCATTTCAGTGCAATAATAAATAAAATAAATTGTGTACATTTCCGTCCCATAAGATAGGAAATAAATGAGGCTACATGATGATTGATGTTAGATATATTTGATTGAAATGAGAAGAAATGAACTTGAGCTGACAGCAAATTATGAATTAACTTCGACTGACAGAAAGCTATGAGCACTGTAAAGCCATCTTTTAAATCTGATTCTTTCTCACTGTCAAAATTCAGTTTATTCAATGGATATTCGAATAAGTTCGGCAGTTGGGTGAAAATGTTCATCAACTTATAAGGATAATTTTAATTTAATTGTGCTGTCTTAAATAAAGCGCTTGTTTGATTTTCAATGGACGTTGTGTAAGCTGAGGTTATATGGTTATATGGTTGGTATTAATTTTAATTAACCTTCGTTTTAAAAGGACAAATACGCACTCCAAGTTTCGCGCATGGTCGACTCTGAGATTAACCGGTTTTACGGATCTAGAAATTAATTAAGTCAGATATTATTAATTTGTATTTCAAGTGTAAACAAAATTCAACATAATTACAATAAGTTGGCAGATATGATTACAGTGTACATTTCCATAACCACAGGAAGTGGCAAACTTATGCAAGTAGCTTTATAATTATACGATTTAATATTAATGGAAAATCTCAAAATAAATAACAAGTTAGTACACATAAACTGTTTTGGTTTGTTTTACTATATCAAATCATGTAGAAAACAAAATCGCTCAAGTATTTGTTTGATTTTAATAAATTGACACTTCATTATTATTTTTATGGTAATATGGCGAAACTGCAAAGATCCATGGAACAGATTATTCGTAATAAATAACTTATCTGTACTTCTCAAGCGCAAGTCGACAAGGTTATTAACTGTAAAGGGAAAAGAAGGAAATGTGAAAAAGGCATATAAAAACTTTACACACGAAATCAAGTAGCAACAATCTTAACGTCACCTACCATCATATTAGTTCCAACAGTGGATAGATTTACGACAGCCTACGAGAAAATATGACGTTCGTAATAAGGTTTTTAGAATTGTAAGCTTTATAGCGTACAACTGCATCATAATAGTCGGACACTATTAGAGTGCCTATTAAAATAATTCATTAATTTGCTGATAATTTCAGTAGCGTGGCCTGACTTATGAGATTGGGTAGACCTTGAAAATGTGTCGATCAAAGTAAGAACTTTAGCTTTGTCTAATGTGGTGCTTCCCAAGCTGTGGTCAGCGGACCCCTGGTCCGTAATTAGGGCGTTCGAGACGAATTTTGAGAAAAATTAATATTTACAAAAATAAAGTAGAATGAGTGAATAAAATAAAAAACTAATAACGAGTACTAAAAAACTAAACTGTTCTACTATTTGATTGATTATTGATATGCTATTACTATTTGTATGTAACATTTATAAGTCGGTCAGAGGAGCGCAATTTGACATGCTTGTTGTAAAAGCTAGTTTGTTTTAGTCATTTCGCCATCTCCAGTGGATCCTTTTTATATAATCCGATGAAAGTAAACGCGAGAAAAAGAAGCTGAATTTAGGTCTTTGTCAGTGGAGGTTTGTCTTAGTAGTCTTTTGTGTAGTTTGAAAAATGACATGAAATTTTTTCGTTTTATAGTGTTATTTTTGTATGCTTATAAGTTCCCAAACATTTATTTTATCTCTAGTACGCCATGAAGTAAGTATTTTCTAGTTTTATACTTCGTTGTTGGCTTTGCATGGCTAAAGAATTTGTTATTGCCTGCGACATGCTTAAGAATTGACAAGAATTTCAAATGCTTTGGACGTTTGCAAATCTCTTTGAAACGTGCTTACTTCCGAGAGGAAATGCTTAAGTAATTTCTTCCTCTTTCTTCTTGTTTACTCCAGTGGTAAATTCGTTCCCCTTAGAGGGAACAGGCTCTTAATTTTGTATCTCTTCTTCGAGGGTTAAAAAATAGCTGACCTACTTTTTACCAAATAAATTTTTGTACTGAACCAATTATACGTGGTATTGTCGAGCACGGCTTAATTTGACCTGTACGCTTGTCAAACTCCTTTTTCGCTATCAGGACTTGGTATATGTTCACCCATTTTTTTACTTTCTCGCTTACAATTAGTCTTATTTTTCAAATAGTGCTATGAAATAAAAATGTACGACCAATTTCGTAGAAATGGTTCACCTTGGTGGTAAAAGCGTAAATAAATATACACATACAGGGTAGTTTGCTACGATGCGAAAAAAAATACAAGTAAACAGAAAATGGAAAAGAATGTTACAAAACCAATTTTTTAGCAGATTTTCTCCATTATCTAAGCATTTTTCATCAAAATTGTGGTTGTTTATAAAATTTACGCTCAATTTATCAAATACTGAGCCATCTACTGAACCCTATCAGTACAACTTTGTGTACTTTGAGAGTGAAGTTATTTTTTTGTAGTGTGAGGGCGGAGGGTAGATTACTGAGGACGCCATCGACCCTCAATTAGCTTAGTTATACAGTACTACTAATAGTAGTAGTGTAACGGGTGGATGAAGGAATCCCAAGTACTTGTAAAAATTGATTGAATGTATATTTATGTGCGAAATGAGCTTATAAAAATCAATCCATCAATTTTTAGTCGTTTGTTATCATTTTTATTTGGAACAACACAATCACTCACATAATCGGTACAAAACTTTCGGTAAAAGTATTTCAGTGCAATGTTACTTTAGTAATGTTGTATGTTACTATTTGAAATAAAAATATGCGAAAAGGTAGCTTTAAAAAGTAGTGAATATAACTATTCAGAAATCGTAAGATGCGATCTGGTGTGATGTAGGTTTCAGAAAAACATTTTCTTTGTCGTGCCAACGTTTCGATCTTTATTGAGATCATCTTCAGGGCCTGGGATTTACAAACATTGTTTACATTTAACAAATACACGTAGGAAGTGGAAAAAAGTGAATTTATACAATGCAAAATATATTTTTTATATTCAATCAAAGGCCCTGAAGATGATCTCAATAAAGATCGAAACGTTGGCACGATAAAGAAAATGTTTTTCTGAAACCTACATCACTCCAGACCGCAACTCACGATTTCTGAATAATAATCGATTAACGGTCACTAATCACCACACACGTAGTGAATATACTTTGTACCAAAAATAAAAATACGTTAATTTTTTTAGCAAATACGCGCAAATGTAAATAATAATGATTTCTGGATGTTTTATTACTTTTATAGATATTTTATGGATATTTTATTACTTTTTCTTGTAAATTTTATGTAAATAAGTTATACTTTATTATTAAGTATTTTTCTTTTTACCTCTGTATCAGGCCGAGTTTTTTAGCGCATCAAAACTCAAATTATTAGGCAAATAAAATATAAGAATATGTGTTTGTTTTGTACGGTAACAAAATAGTTGACATTTAAGAAATAGATATTGGATCAAATTTAACTTGATGCGTTTTAAAAAAATATTTCCTTTCAGTGAAAAAAGTTTCTTTTTTTACTATTTTATCCTCTCTCCAAATACATATCTCATTGTTCAGACTTAAAATACATTACGAAAATAGGTATTTCATTTTAATAGATCTTATAATATATTTAATAAAAAAATTGCGTCACCATGAAGAAATCACAATTCATGCTTATAGATCTCCATTGCCAGGTTAGAAAAAGTAGAAAAATATATTAGGCAATATTTTTTATAGAAAAGGGCCGACAAGAAAATAACCTCAGATCCAAATGCCACGTCCTTCATAAGTCAAATAAGATCCCTCAATACCTAACGTTTCCCGTATCACGACGTTTTCCGACATAAACGGCTTTTCAATTTGCGAAAACGGAAATAGTAAGTCATGGAGAAAACCGAATCGATCATATTTCTATCATATGAAATTTCCAATCTGAATTTCCTAAAAAAATAAATCACTCACCCAAGTTTGCTAGAGGTCCTGCAGACGCAGCATCGAATCACAGTTCCTACCGGGCGATTAAAACATATTCCGTCTCTAAAGGTATTTCAAAATTCTCTTTTTTTTACTTTGCCGCGAGATGTTCATTCCGCCACTTTTTCCGACACAATTCATTCGGAATAATGTGCGTCAAAAGGGGAATCAGGCAAGGTAAAAGCTTGGAAAAATATTTATGACCGTTGACCGAGAGGGGATACAGAAAAAAAAACTTAGAAATAACAAGGACACGGATTTTTCCTTTTTATGTTAACAAAACATTAAATATTATGCTTTTCTGAAGCTCAAAACCCAATTTAGACTCTTACTAACTCTAGTAAAAATAGTTATTCAGATATCGTGAGATGCGGTCTGGTGTGATGTAGGTTTCAGAAAGACATTTTCTTTATCGTGCCAACGTTTCGATCTTTATTGAGATCATCTTCGATTAACGGTCACTAATCTCTACACATTTCTAGTAAAAATATTTGAAAAGTTCTCTTTAAAAGCGCGATCAAATATTAAACTGAGAACATTGTAAAACCACAATCGTCCAAAAAAAACTGTATAGATAATCTGCCGATAATAGCTCTTTCGACCAAAAATATAAATTAAATGAATCGAGAAATTGGTTAGGATAGAAGGGCCAATTTGCACTGACACCATTGATCAGTTTCTATTCATTCCAAGTAAAGCCTATTTGGGACTATTTCAAAATAGCACGAGCCCTATCAATTGTACAGACCACACTTATCCCCCTTTCAAGGTTTAATGTCGTAAGTAAATCTGGAGTTTAATTTGCTCAGTATTTATGGAATTCCGTTTTCCGTTGAGATGAGAAAAATAAATGACTTTGGTGGAGGGGGTATACTAGCGGTGTGTTTAAGAGACGAGGGTTAATGCTAGCTCAGAAACCAGTAAATTTTGATCATGTTGGGGTTTCGGTCTGCTTTTTCTCCCACATTTGTTATTTAGTTCTCAGGAGAAGCTATTTCTATCTTTGATAAACCTGTTTTACATGTTGATAACGAAATGAAATCATTTTTTAATAGACTAAGTTAATATCGTTCTAATTTTTCAAATAATGAAATTAATCTCATAAGATTTTATTTTATACTTTTCTTATATGAACCAGATTTTGGGAATTTCGATTTGAAATATATCATTTATTTAGTACAAAGATAACTTCATTGATTTTTCAATCAATGCACTTTTACAAACTCTACGGAAACATATTAGTTTTTCTGTACAGAGTCAAAAACATAATTTTTTTAAAACATTTTTTGTAGTACTTTTACAAACAATTGCATATTTTCACATCAATACCTATTATTCAATTTTCAAGAATCTTTTTCAAACGTCCGAAACCACAGAATTCCATCTCTTTTCATATGGCGTTTAATTGAATTAGTATTTTTATAATTACCTTTTCCGGAGAGATGAGAAAGATGAAAAATGACTCTGATGGAGAAGGTATACTAGCGGTGTGTTTTGGACACGAGGGTTTATGTTAGCTCCCCCACATGTGTTAGTTCTCCGGCGAAGCTATTTCTATCTTTCACAAACCTTTTTTAAATATTGGTACCTTGGGTAACATCTAGACTCAAGTCTACCTGGAACCAACACACACGATTAAAACGACACGCACTAAACCTTGCCTTCGGACAACTCTACAAACTACACTCGCGCAAATCTAACGTTTCAATGCAAAACAAACTGACAATCTACAAGACAGTACTAAAACCCATCTGGATGTTCGGACTGGAACTGTGAGACACCAAACCTTCCAACATCCAAAGAATACAGTCCTTCCAATCCCATGTCCTCAGAATCTTAGTCAATGCTCCTTACTACGTCTCCTGCAACAGCCTTGACAACGACCTCAAAATCCCTTTCGTGCAAAAAATAATTTCCAAAACATTTAACACTTTCCACATTAACTCCTCTCTCACCTCAATCGAGATGTCCAATGCTTATCCAACACCCCTAAAATCCCATCAGACGACTGAAGAATGGCCTTGCGACCTACTGAACGAGGATTCGTTCTGAACAATGGTTATTAACTTCCATCATGACTCATGAGCTATGCCAATTGTAAATTAGTAAATGTTGAAAATAATGTTATAGATTATAATAAATATATTAAATAAAAACATATTGATAACGAAATGAAATCACGGATTATCGTTTTTAAAAGTGTCGGTTAATATCGTTCTTACTAATTGTTCAAATAATAAAATTAATCTCAGAAGATTATTTATGTATTTATTTTTTATGTAAACCAAATTTGTAGAGTTTCGATTTGAAACATATCATTTGTTTAGACCAAAGAAAACGTAAACAGGGGCACACCTTTTTCTTCGGGATGGGGCGCTCGAAATAAAAGAGCGACCGAGCACAATAACTGTCAAAAATCTCACTATCAAGCGATATTGAAAGGAATTATGCTACAATCAATCGATACGGCGAACCATAATATAAAGAAATGACCAAATTAGCTGGAGGAAGAGATGAAAGTATCATCGTAAAACTATTAATTATATATANTATATATATATATATAAAACTCTACGAAACAGAAAATGGTGTGAAATATTAAAATGCACATTGTAGCGGACTGTGTAAATATTAAATTAAAAAGAAAGGGTAGAATTACTGTGGCTCAAAAAAGCATCGGCACTCTGAACTTTTTTAGGTTTAAGTTTTAAAAATTCAAAAATTTTATTTTAATGTTTTTACTGTTTTTAAATTAAATAAAGGTTTTCGCAAGTTGTAGCTCGTATTTATTTTTTCTTCGACTAGTCTAAATTTATTTTTGAAATATTTTTATTTCATAAAATAATTAGAAAAATATATAATTCGACGTAAAAAAATTGAAAATTTTCTTAACGCAACAATTAAGTTAAAAAATTCACTTTAACCCAGTAAAAAATTATTGGCACACTTTGTTTATTGTTTATAAGGTTTTTATGAACTGGATACCACTAATATTTTGTCAACTATTGGCATCAATGAAAACCTGTAGCCTTCTTGGTTTCAATGAAACAAGATTTTGTGTCACTTATTGTCCAATTTAATGACATTACTCAAATAAGTTTCTTTCAAGGTATTTTTTGAAGAAATTTTATTTTCTCTTACTTTTAGGTCTAACAGATACCATAGGTGTTGCATTGCATTTAAATCCGAAGACTATGGTGGCGTTTTCAATCCGGGGAACGTCGTACATTCATTCTTTTGTTTTGTTTGCTGTGTGCTTGGGATGACATTATCTTGTTGAAAGATAAAAGTTTCCTTGATCTGACAACTACGTTCCGGATTCCAGGGTTGGCACTCGCGTGGTTGTCGACATAACAGACATACAGCATTCTTCAGTCCACTTAATCATTTTTTCATTAAATTTAATAATCGCCTCAACTACTTTAATAATCGTTCCTTTGGCGGTTTTATAGTCGAAGAAAAAATAAATACGAGCTAGAACTTGCGAAAACCTTTATTTAATTTAAAAACAGTAAAATTATTTTGATGGGTTTTCGTTATATAACGCATTGCTCGTTATGGACATTGCCAGGATCCATAAAACTGCAGAAGATAAAGAGGTTGTGGAATCATTTTCTCACGGTGTTACTTTCCTGCCGCCCTACTCGCCATCTCTAAACCCTGCAGAGTATGCGTTCTCCAACATTAAGCCAGCTGTGATTGCCCTGTTAACTGAAGCCAAAGGAACCCAACTTAAGTGAAATAATAAGCTGCAGTGTCAATTCACTTGTGGGAACCGACCGCACTAATTAGGTAGTGGATGTCCTTTTGAAGCTGCCAACGGTTGCCGCAGGACTGCCAGTCCATAAGTTTATGTTAAAATTATCATTTTTCATATTCTTGTATTAATTAATTGAATAATTTTCCTTTTTTTAAATTTAAATAAAGGTTTTTCCAACTACTAGCTCGTATTTAATTTTCTCCCCTGACTATAAAATCCCGAAAGGGACGATTATTAAATTAGTTGAGGCTATTAATTAGTTGAATGAGACGATTATTAAATAGTTGACAAAACTATTAATTTGTCTGAAAAATACTATATATATCAAACGAATTGTTGTAGATTTTTTATATATGTAAGAACATATTTCTATTGTATATTATATATATTTGTATGTATATTTGTATTTGTATATTTATGTATATTACATATATTTGTATTTGTATTTGTATTGTATGTCGTGTAAGAAGAATATTTGTTTAAGCCTACTTTCGTTGCTCTGTCACAAATAGTTTGTTTTTTCAATTTATACGATATGTTCTGGATAGTTGTATGAAATCAAAAATAAGGTCTATAGCTTTTCAAAAAAGACTTAATTACTCAATTGCATTAAGTCAACTTTATGGCATTGAAGTATGGGGACTTCTGTATTTTAACGAGATTGAACAAGCTTATCTTAGCTTCAACAAAAAACTATTTCCCTTAAATAAAAATACTCTTTTTTGACTAACCTGAATTCAACATTAGCCATTCTGGCAGCATGGTTATAACAAACTTTACATTATATAGTTAAGGTACACTTTATGGATGATTTTAGGCTGCCTCGGCAATGTTTACTTCAATTAAAAGAGCTACAGTAAAAAAAACCTTCACAAAACAGAACTAGTTCGCTTAATTAATTAATGTGCTTATTCTACAGATTTTCGATGCGGTTAGTATAGCATAAATAGAAATGTCATTGTAGGTAAATCCCAATGATAGCCGGATCCAAAAGTCCACCTTCAACTTCAATTATTGTTTCCAACTAGTACAAGCTTTAAATTTTTAGGATAGCCAAGCAGCTTAACCAGCCAGCCATTAACTTGTACAAAAATCACATCAAAATTAGTCAGTGAATGCACGCAAAATCTCTAAAACTTGGGAAAACACAACAATCTGATGATATCTTGGGTAACACACACTGGCCACAAGAGAATCTGCAAGCCCATACATAGGCCCCGAACAAAAACAAATACAGACTGAATCTAAATAAAACAAAAGGAGAAGTGGATGAACGCTAGGGGCACAAGACACAGTAAGCGTACGCTAAAACAACCCTCACCAGGACTGGCAAACTCACTGCTGCAGTGGAGCGGGCCAGACT